CTAGACATTTATCAAAAATAAAGTAAAAATAGGTAAAAAAAAATAGGTAGGGTGCATATTTTTCGGGCTCCCCCGATTGATTATCACTGTCGGAGTCACAACAAAGGTTTATACCAAGAAAACCGCAAGAAAATATCAAAATTCGGAAAAGGCCCTATTCTGAAGAATTACCTTTACGACAATGCCGACAATATCATTTCCTTCGTTTTAATATGCGGCCACTAAATCGCTGTCCTTCGCTTTCGTACGTACGTTTCATAAATTCGTAATTCACGGAGTTTAATTCGCCTGGCGCGGTACGTGGCATTCATGACGATACTACGCGTACGACAGCATCTCGCGGGAACGTAACAAAATTAAATGAAAACATTGTTACACGCAGCCTGAAAGAAAGACGCAACGGAAGAAACTCTCATTCTTCCGCAGATCGTAGGAAATAAAATATGTAATTGTTTCTGTCACAAAAGCTTCTCTCGTTATTGTAGCGGTTGCACACGTATTTGTCTCTGTTCTATATCGGGCGGAATAGCCGGGGTGAATATAACTTGACCGGACTCGGTTGCGAGAACACACGCTCTTTCTCATAGAAGGAGGGACTCCTTCTATGTCTCGTATAAATACGAGACATCATAAAAGCGAACATAAACTACGCTACTTAACCCTGGACGGGACATTAGGTACGTTCTTCTTTTCCTCGTTTCGTGTTAAATTGTATAAAAAGCCGCGTATCCGGTGAAAACGACTTTCTTCGTGCTTGATTTATCGTTGATAATGTTAAGATATGCAAACCGAGCTCTCGGGTCGAATGATTTATCGTGCATGGCTACGGTATCGAATATTCGGATGTTCCACATTTAACGTTCCCTGCTTTCGGATTCGTGAGAGAAAACTTTATACTTTATGAAACGTGGTTCCTCGACACTTTATATAGAATTTCTATTTTAATTTTTAAAGTGCACGTTTTTGGATCTGTTTTATTATTTTATACTGTAGTATAAATAGAGATTAGATTTGGATAAATATACGGCGAAATACGTTATTATGATAACGTATTCCGCCGTATATTTATCCAAAAAAATCTCTATTTATCCTAATGTCTCTGAGAATACTAGAAGAAGAAAATGCACTTAAGTGATAATTACTGCAGCAGATGTTCAAAGTTGCCGGCAGACAAATTGTCCGTCTTTGACATTTCGAAGTTAAATACCAGGTTTGAACAAAGGCGCGAAAGTATAATGAAGCTCGAACTATTTCTTTCGTATTTCGAAGTAATGCATTTATACCATTGCAGCATCGTGAAAGAAAGAAGATAAAACGTTTTCGAT